ATGAAAATATATGTGGGTACCTATAAGAGTACTGACAATGGGCTTCCCTGGTGGTGCAGTGGTTGGGAGTCCGCCTGCCGATGCGGGGGGTGCGGGTTTATGTCCCGGTCCAGGAGGGTCCCACGTGCCGCGGAGCGGCTGGGCCTGTGAGCCGTGGCCGCTGGGCCTGCACGTCGTCGTCCGGAGCCTGTGCTCCACAACGGGAGGGGCCGCAGCGGTGAGAGGCCCGCGTACCGCGAAAAAAAAACAAGAGTACTGATACCACTTACTTGAAGTTAACAGCACTGGAAGGATCTTTACAGTAAGCTTTTTTTTTTTTTTTTTAATTAATTAATTTATTTTTGCTGTGTTGGGTCTTAGTTTCTGTGCGAGGGCTTTCTCCAGTTGTGGCAAGTGGGGGCCATTCTTCATCGCGGTGCGCAGGCCTCTCACTATCGCGGCCTCTCTTGTTGCGGAGCACAGGCTCCAGACGCGCAGGCTCAGTAGTTGTGGCTCACGGGCCTAGCTGCTCTGCGGCATGTGGGATCTTCCCAGACCGGGGCTCGAACCCGTGTCCCCTGCATTAGCAGGCGGATTCTCAACCACTGCGCCACCAGGGGAGCCCCTACAGTAAGCTTTTAATTCAGTGTTACAAACAAGGAAAATATAAGAACCTAAGAACCTGAAGAAACTGCCTGAGTTTCTAAAGGTTTGGTTTCACATGTTTTTAATTCAATTTTTCCTAAAGAAAAACATGAAACTGATACGGTAGAGAGGCTATATATATATATATATATATATATATATAAAATCTCCTCAAAGTCAACATTGTGGAAATATGAAGAGGAAAAGATAAGTGAAACAACAGCACTCTCTTAGAGCTATCAGAAAATATACTTTAGCATATTAAGGTGGGAAAATGAATGGAAAAAGATGAAATCACAAACAGTTCCTAGTATCTTTGAATATGAAAGTACAAAGCTTTAACCAGAACACCAGGCAGCAGGGATCATGGCAGGATGGCAGCATGGTGAAGAAAGCAGGGCTTCCTGTGCAGGTGCAGACAGCTCAATCAACTGCTATCGAGTTGCCTATTCACTACTTACTCAGAACGCACAAAGCAACTCCAAGAAAGGATGGGCTTCCTTTAGCAGGCCTCTGATCATCATGACCAACTCTTCAGGGGTGGGTGCAAGGTGGGAAGAGAAGGAAAGAAAACAAACCCTGGCAAGGGATAGGAAGACAGGTTTGGAAAGACTTTCACAGGTTTGGAATGCTTAGTTGCTCCAGAAGTTTAAAGAGCAAACTGCGAGTCATCAAAGAAAAGTGTAATTTGTTGATCCTCATTAAAAGACGCCTCGGCTGTTTGCCACCAAGCCTTGTCTTTTGAACTCTATTTCTCATATACAGCTTTAGCAAAAAAGAAAAAACAAAACAAAACCAACTAGCTTGCTGATTTCAGTATTTTAGCCCTTATGTACACATCCTTCAGAAGGGTGAATAAAAATGACCACAGGCAGTTAAAACCTTTGTATTTTTAAAAGGTTGGCAGGAAGTATTGTTAAGACTTTTTGTAGAGATGCATGCCTGCCTTTCAAAATAAAAATGTATACACAATCCTTTCTAACAGCTTATAAATAAAGTAAAAAAAAAGATAAGTGGTATAGCGTAGTTAATGCTTACAAAAAGCATTTTTCATTTATGTAGATTATTATAAACATCAGTTGATAAGGCTGCAGTTATTAGATAGATGCCACAGGGCCACAGCATCTCTCCACAGAAGCTGCAATGGTACTGATGTCATCATCCACCCAAGCTTTGTACTTTAGGGTACAAAGTCCACTAAAAATGGTCAGAAAGGTACATACTGTGGGGGGCATATAAAGGAAGGCCACATTCTCTGGTTTTCCTCAGTAGATATGGAGTTTTAAAATGCTTGGAAATACTTAACTAACTTTTTGGACTTTCATATGTAATTCTACTGGGTTCTAACAGCCAGACAGAAGGTGATAGAAAAAATCACATTACGAAATTCCCCCAGTCCTTTAAAAAATATTTCTACCCATTAAGTGGGTAACTTTTTGACATTTCTCCTATTTTTCTACTTTGATCTAAAAATATCTGATGTTAATCTGACAATGGCCTGAATGACTCAGTGTAAATAATAACTAACACACACGGAGTGCGTTTATGGAACAAAGGCTGCTCCGAGGGGATCACACTTTGTCGCGCTTCCTTTCTCCACGCTGGCACTCAAACTATTAGCCCACCTCCAGTTCTTTCTCCTATTCTGGCTCTGCAGCATCCATTAGAACTGCCTTGAGTGATGACTAAACGCCACCTCCTCGAAAGAGGCTCCCTGAAGGCTCCCCTGTTGAAAGTCTTTTCTCTTTATTCTGAAACCCCAGCATTTTCCATGTAACTCTATACTGTAGGCAGAATGCTAAAGACGCCATCCTGCCAGCATTCTCGTTCCCTGGTTATTTAGCTAAACGTCCATCTAGGTGCTGCTGCGATAGAACTCTGCAGGTAGATTAAGGTTACTAATCAGCTGACCTTAACATAGGATGAGTATTCTGGATTACCCGGGTGGGCTCACATAATTAAACAAGCTCTTCAAAGCAAAGAAGAAGGCAGAACGGTCACTTACGAGATGTGCCAAAAGAAGAGAACAGAGGAACAATGAGGCGGAAGCTGTGGTGACAGAGATAACAAAGAGTGACTTGACCCATCATTGTTGGGTCTGAAGATGGAGGAAAGAGTCCAGAAGCCAAGGAATGTGGGTGGCCTCTAGAAACTGAGAATGACCCCCAGACAACATGGAAACAGTGACCTCAGTCCTACGACCACGTGGAACTGGTTTCTGCCAACAACCTGAATGAACTTGTAAGTAGGTTCACCCTCAGAGTTCCCAGAAAGAAACACAGGTCTACCTGCACTTTGATTTTGTTATTGTGAAACCCAGACCAGAAGAATCCAGGCCAACCCAAACCTCTGACCTGCAAAATAGTAAGATAATCAATCTGTGTTGTTTAAATTTGTGGTAATTTGCTAACAACAGCTTTCTTTTGTACTTTATCCTATTTAACAGTTCAAATCTCAGTGGACATCAGAATCATCGGAGGAGCTTTTAAAATGCATATGGACCCCATTCCCAGTTAAAATTTCTGAGGGAGAAGAGGGGAGAGCAGGAAGAAAACATCGAATTTTTATTTATAGCTCTGCAAGTGACACTTTTCCCAACATTTTTTAATATTAGCATCACCTCAGAAAGTTCCTGCAAGCCCATTTCCAGGTAATTCCCGTCCTCACATCCCCAGGGTAAATCATGGTTCTGATTTTTATTTTCCACCGTACGTTAGTTTTGCCTATACTAGGATTCCATATAACAAAATCATGCATTGCATACACTGGTATACGGTTTCTTTCTCCATGATGTTGTGTATATTGGTACTCCACACCTTTCTACTGAGTATCACACTGTAAGGCTATACCATAGTTTATCCATTCCCAGCTGATGGATGTTTGGGTTGCTTACAGTTTGGGGCTATTATGAATAAAGCTGCTATGAATATTCTTGTGATGTGCTTTCATTCCTCTTGAACTGCTGGATCATAGGGTAAATGTATGTTTAGTTAAAGACCTTTCTCCGAAGTGTCTATACCATTTTAAGAGTTCCTACCTGAGTGAGAATATGTCAGTCGCCTACTTTTTCTCTCCTCATCTCAAATGATCTTAATGTGTAGCCAGAGTTGAGAACCACTAGACTAGATTAAGAATTCCTCCAAGGCTGGATGCACATCTTACTCATCCTTGCTTCCCCCAATACATTTAGCACAGTCTTTAGCAAAGCAGGAACTCATGAATCCTATCAGATTTCACCTTTTTTTTTTTAAACATTTATTTATCTATGGTATACCATATACCTCTTTCTGTCAGTTGCTTTTTTTCTCAATATTATGTTAATGAACTCTAAATCAATATTACTAATATTTTTAGTTCATTAATTTCCATCTTTTAGCATTCTGTGTACGTCAATTTGTCCAATAATGTAACTTGTTCATCCATTCTTCTGTAAGTGGACATTTAAATTGTTTCACTAATATAAGCAATGCTGCTATGAACATTCTCGTGCGGGCTCACAATAGCTACATATGCATATATTCCATAACATGCAGTTTAACAGGAAAGATAATACGTGTGCATGATCTATACGACGAAGGCAGCGATTAGTTTTTATGAAAGGTACAAAAGGTCACGGGTTGTTCTGAGCAATACGAGGCTACTTTCGCTAGAAAATATTTGGGGATGGCTCCAACGGCCAAGCGACATTCACTGCTAATTAACAGTACGAGACCACACCTTTTAATCTTTAATTACTCTTTAACTGATACCCAACAGTTTCACGTGTGTCCATTCAGTTCCGCAACTAGTGTGTGAGCGACAGGAGGACGGAGCCGGGCACCAACACGCTGAGCAAATACGAGTGTGACCGTGGGGAGTCCGCGGTGGAAGCTGCAGCCGCCGACCTCCTGGCTGTGCCAGGCCACTGGAAAGTGAAAGCGCGAGGGCAATGTCGGGGCAACCGGGGCCTAATCTCACTTTTCACTCCTAAAGTCAAGGAAGCTGAGGAAACGGGGACGCACTGGGATCACAGACGCCTGCCTCAAAGCCTCTCTCCACTTACACTCGCAAGGCCGCCAGGTCAGCAGCTAGGAGCGGAGGCGTGGACGCGGCCCCTGCCCAGAGCGTAGCCACCCCGTCTGGCCTCTTCCAGAGGCGCCTCTTTGCCTTACGCCAGCTTCGTGAAGAGGCGCTGAGGGCAACCTGGAGGCGCCCCGAGCTCCAGAATCTGACGTGAAACTGCGCGGGGCTGCACTCGCGGCGGCCATCTTTGATTCGGGCAAAACCACACCCCCGCACCCCGCCGGCCGCTCCCTCTCCGCGTCCCTAGGCTTTTCATCCACAAACGTATAAGGCGCTGACCGTAGAGGTAGTGCTCAAAAAACACGCACAGAGGCCTAACTGTCCATGACCCTCGAGGTGCCAAATGCCGCCAATTTCCACATGGCAGCTAAACCCGAGCAGCAAAGGAGAGCTGATGCCAACGAAGTCATCTCAGATTTCACCTTGATCCAGCTTCTGACTTTTGCCATATATGGCAAATCTACTAAGTCTGCCCTCCGTAACTAAACACAATAAGTGTGTAATTTTGAGTAAAGCATTTCATGATCTGCATAATCATGGGTTCACTATTTGTTTTCCCTGCCAATTCTAAGCTCCAAGAGGGCATGGCCTGTGTCTGTCTTAGTAAGGGCTGCACCCATGAATCCAGCACGGAGACTGGGCTCATATCAGGGCCTCAATGAATGAACAAAGTACAGAGAGGAAAGAAAAATCCTTTCTCCTAAATATTTTGTTTATTTTAATTGAAACAACAAGGTACAAGTCTACACTCTGGAAGAGTCCTAGGTCTATAGCTATCAATATTTGGCGGGAACAAAGATCCTTCTGAAAATCTGATTAAAACTATGGATCCCCCCCCGCAAAAAAAAGACAATGTATATATACATTGACAGTTCTGCATACAACATCAAGTTGGTCACATGGTGTTCACATGGTCAGAAATCACAGCACTGGGTTTTATATAAAACTGCAATCATTTCTTTCACAAATTATTTGTTGAATATCTGATTTGTCCTGGAATTATACTAGGTATAAGGGCAAGACATAGTCCCCGCCCTTAAGAATAGGGGAAGGGAGGAGGTCACATGCAAATGACAAGCAATACCATCCAATCCAAAGTCAGGCATCTCAGAATCCATGACCCTTTCCAAAGATGACTTTTTTGCCCAAGTCTACAACATATGACTAACAACCTGAAATGCAAATAACCCTTCAAGGTAATATTTTGGGTATAGAGATTTACCTTTGATTTGTGTTTCTGGAAGTGAAAGAAAAAGAAAGAAAAAGAGGGGAAGAAGAGTAACAACTTATCTATGTTGCACTCTCAAGGAATAAATGCTTCCGGTTGCTTCCTGCATTAAGAGACCCTGTGGTGAAATGACTTGCCCCAGGAGTAGATGTGGCGTCCATGGTGGTCATCCTCACGTGGCAGCGTGTGGGGATAGGCACAGCAGCTCATTCATCTGGGAAAGAGCGGGAAGGGATGGGACCTCCCCACTGGTGGTCTCGTCTCATTAGGTGCAGAGGGGACGCACAGGTGGTCTGGTGAGGTGCTGAGGACCCACAGGAGAAGGTGCCTCCACTGGTCAGGGGCACAGTGCACTGCACCATCCAGAGATATCTCCTTGCGAGGTGTTTCCTGGTGTTTCTGAAAAAGCAGCGTTACAGCACAAAAACTATGCCGCTATCTGGGGGAAGTGTGAGAGGAGGGTAAATGTTAAAACAACTAGAATAAACAAAAATCTTTAAAATAGCAACAATAAAAATTCAACATTGACCGAAAATGAAGTTCAAGAATGTTTTTCGGTAGAGAAATGAATTATTCTATATTAGTGGATTTTCTGATTGAAGCTAATTTCTTTAAATGGAAAAACCTTTATAAAATAGTTGCTGGCAATCTTTCCAAATCATTTCACACTCCTGTCTCCTTAATCAAACTGTGTAAACATGATGTAACGTTCCTGGTGGCTCTCTAAGTCCATCCATTACTCTGCTGGGCTGTAACACACTCTGAGAAGCTGCTGCCTACTCAGCTCTGCCTGCCCTTCATCAAAACAACTCCAGCTGCTCCATGTGGAGACCCAGGGCTTTTTAAGTTTTCTCTTTCTCTTCACCTCATCATCAAATCACTTCTTGCTAAGGTCCATCTATCCAACTGACAGCACTCCATGGAACATTATCCTTTTAATTCCTGGCTAAACTGGGAAAACAATTGTTTCTTCAAAATGAGTTCAATTTAAAAATTTAAATAACAACCTGAATACTGTGTTTTATTAAATTTGTTTTAGAAAAGGTAAGCTGACTCTGAGATGAGCAGTGGCAGGTACAGCACACGGTTTTAGGCAGCTGTCTGTATAATGGCATCTACATGGCCATTGGCTTAGGATACGCCAGGGAGGAAAATTAGGCCAAAATTTTGAAGAAGTAACAATTCTGGTTATTATTAAAAATAGACCATAAATGAGGGTCTGAGTAAAATTTGTAAGGTTTGTTACACAGACTCTGTATAACACCCATTTATTCCGGCTGTTCAGAGTTACTTTTAATTTTTTTGTGTTTTCAACTTCTGAGTCTTTTCCAGACAACTGACCTTTACATAAGTGAAGCATTAATACAACCACAAAACAAATTGTTTTCCTTTGTGAAATTTCGTACTGTACAGCTACAAATGCCTTTAAATTAAAATCTGTGTCTCTGTGTCCTCAATGGACAGGTGAACCCTGTGTTTAGGATGGACTATTTGCTGTGATACTTCATTTGCCATTGAATTGCAGGCCTGTTAAAAGAAGCCCATCACTGCTGTCCCCATCTGGTATATCATAAGCAAAAGGAGGACAGTTTAAATTCACAATGTGACCCATTACATTCATATCAATACCACATGTTCATGCCTGAGTGACAGGAGCACCAACCTTGGTGGACTATATTATGAAATTTAAAAATGTTCCAAACATATGACCATCCTAACTTCTATGGATGCATCTGAATGTGAAATTCTGTAGCACTTCTTTATGATCAAATTAAAATGGAATCTATCTGGGAATCATTAATACTCCATTACAGGACCCTTAATGACTACCTCCCCTTTCCCCTACTCAAACTCTTTTCTTCTTCTCTTTTTTTTTTTGGTTAAAACTCTGTTTGTACTCTTTAAGCAGCATCTGTTCTGTCAAAATGTTCTAAGAGAATTCTTTTTAATAGATTTTTTTAAAGCATGAACACAAGATATAGACCTTCAGCAGCTTCCAAGTATTATCTTCCTCATCGTCACCATCTTCCATTCAAGGTCTGAACCACACCAGAAGCAGCAGCATTGTCTGTCCAGGCCAGCACGCGACTGGAAGCAACAGCCTGCAACCAGATCTCCACAGGGAAACCAGAGCAGAAACACACCACGAACCCTGTATCACACCTCAGCTTGATTCGTTTTACTGAACAAAGCTACATTCCATATTTTAAGCCAGAACCTCTAAAGCTTTTCTCTTAAAAAGCTGCTAACAGGGCCTCCCTGGTGGCGCGGTGGTTGGGAGTCCGCCTGCCGATGCGGGGGATGCGGGTTCGTGCCCCGGTCCGGGAGGGTCCCGCGTGCCGCGGGGCGGCTGGGCCCGTGGGCCGTGGGCGCTGGGCTTGCGCGTCCGGCAACGGGGGGGGCCACGACAGTGGGAGGCCCGCATGTCGCAAAAAAAAAAAAAAAAAAAAAGCCCTTTCTCTTGTGACATGCCACTGGTGGTGTCTTTATGAAGATGTGACCACAGAAATGGAGTGTTCAGCATCCCCTGTGACAAAGACCACCCCCCATCTTTAAGTGCCTACATTCTCACCAAAGCAACAAAAAAAAAAAAAAAAAGCTGCTAACATAGCTTTTCTCTTAAAAGGCTCTCCTGCTTATACCAGAATAAGCATTCAAGCCCGTTTCCTCCATAGAGACTGTTGCTACCAGGTCTCCAGGACCTTCTCTTGGAGAGAGCTCACCTACTCCAGGCAACAGTTGATGCTCTTTTTTTAGCTACACTTAAATACCACCCCTCAGTTCCTATTTTCAACTGCAAACTCCAAATATAACTCAGATCAAGTATTTCTGAGAATTCACTTCAGGTTTTTCATTTATAAAAAATTCAGACTGTTTTCAGACTGTGGCCTGTTTCTTCCTCTCATATAATTCTTTAGGAGTAATCCTTTGAGAATGCTGATACAACAAAGGTAATTTTCTTGAATTTAAATCTGAACTTTCACTATTAAATACATACTTGTCTGAACCAATAAATATAACATAAAAGTTAAAACTTGAGTGATGTGATTTCAGTTTACAAAGAAAAAAAATGACATTAAGAACCCTCCTAATACTTAGACTGAAAGAATCCGTAAAGACCACGTATAGAGTTTTTCCAGCTTACTCTTTGCCACAAAATATTTTTCTCAGAAGACACTGTACATGAGTAAGTTTGAGCACAACAAAAAAAAAAGAGCAAGGAGTTCTGGTCCCAGTGGAGAGTGGGGACAGGGCAAGGTGACCCCAAATACTGTGGGCTATAAGGAGCCTGAACTGAAAACCTGAAAATTATGGGCACGGCCCACATATCTCATTTTACAAACCAAGAAACCACGACTGAGGCGCCATCACTCATCAGCAGCAGCAAGAGGACAGGTGTGGAGCCCAGGACTCCCACAACCCTGTCACAGAGACGAGAGCCATGTGACAACACGGGGATGCACTTGCCAATCCTCACAATCACTCCTGGAGGAAGGCCTTACTACCAATGTTACACACGAGAAAACTGAAAAGCCTGCGTGGCCAGGCCGAGGTCTTCACAGAGGCACAAAGTGGCACAAAGATCAAGCATTAACTCAGAAGAAGCAGACAGGTTTTTCCTACTTTTTATTGCTCTTTATTTCATGCAGTTTAGAACACAGGCGATATAGGAAGGGACAGAGGGGCAATTGGGAAAATAATTTAGTAACATAAATGCTAAAAACATCTCAAAACAATTTAAAATCATTCCCTTATTACTGTCGCCACCCACGTCCTAGCCGCCATCCCTTCTCGCATGGACAACTGCAACCATTTCTTCACCATCTTCCCCATTTTCACTCCCACTTCCTTTCAAACAATTCTCCACAGATCCCAGAGTAATAATAATAATTTTTTTAAATGGACTCATGTGACTTTCTGGCTTTCAACTCTTTAAAATAATTCCCCATTGCCTTTTTCTTAAAAGCACTGTTTTTAATGTTGCTACACCATTATGGCTTAAGCTTAAGCATCGTGACACTCACTGCTGCGAAAGAGTAATGAAAGAGCAGTAAAGTTTGAAAGAGTAGGAAAACTTCATGAAACTCATCCTTATATGATGCCTAAATCTCTGGCTGAACGGAGAGAAATGGAACTTCCTTCTCACTGAAAGTTTTATTGAAATAATTGTGGATTCACATGCAGTTATAAGAGATAATAGATTTCTTATACCTTTTACCGAGCTTCCCCCGATGGTAACATTTGCAAAACTACAGTACAATATCACAACCAGAGTACTGACCCCCCGATCTTACTCAGATTTCCCCATTTATACTTGTCTTAATTTGATAACACTGGAAGCAAAGATGAAAGAGGAGAGAGCAAAGTGGGGGAGAAATGCTGCTTAGGGTCAGCCTTTTGGTAGAAAGAAAAATAGGGCAATTGTCACTGTTAAACAGTTAATCTTCTCCCTAGCTGAAAGGGTCAAATTAGATAGGTCAATAGAATTCTGAAAGCTGAGCTGGCTTTGCTCTCTCTTTTTGAGAAAAATCCTACAGCTCTTGCTGTCACTATGTGCAAACAGGTACTTTTCAGAGTTCGAGCTTTTACAAAATTGTTTGAATCTTTAATGGCTGGTTAAACCATCTTTAATGGTTTAATCATTTTTTTTTTTTTGCTTACCCCTATATACAACTGTAATTGATCAAAAGCCTAATGGTTATGAACCTGCATAGTATAATTTTTATATTTCCTAATTACGTTTCTTCTTTTTTCCAACAAGATACATTAACCTTTATTTAAAATGTGTTTTTCTCTTTTGATGTTTTGGATTTGTTTGTTTAAGTGCTACCCTCCTGGCTAATTTCTCCATCATTTTCACAAGCTACTGTTCCCTAAGAATAGCACAAAAGAAAATTGTATTTAAAACAAAACATACAATGGTTTCAGTCAACTATGTATGTTAAGTAATGGATACATGCATTTTCAGAAACTTCTTTTAAATGAACCACATCTAAATTCTGTTTTTTGGGAAAGCAAAGGAAAACAAACGCATCTGAATAGTAACATTTTATTGGGATTCTAACTAATAGAATATATAACAATTATTTTAACTTTCTAAAAAAAATTTTTATACAATTTTTAAGGTTCCTTTCCGTTGGCAGTTATTACCAAATATTGGCTCTATGCCCCATATTGTATAATACATCCTTGAGCCTTTCTTACACCCAACAGTTTGTACCTCCCACTCCCCACCCCATATTGCCATCCCCCCACCCCCGACCAGTAACCACTCGTTTCTTGTCTGTACCTGTGAATCTGCTTCTTTTTTTTTTTTTTTTTTTTTTTTAGGGAAGCCCGAATCTGCTTCTTTTTTCGCTTTTTTCACTACTTTGTTGTCTTTTTTAGATACAACATAC